TTCCTCGGAAATGAATGTATTACAACAATAGTCATACCACTAGTGATAATCACCATGGCTGAGGTGGGGGAGGGGGGATGTTTCCACATAAATTATAATTCCCTGGTGTATCTGGGCACATTTCTTGCATTTGGTGCCAACCACAAAGTAGGAACCCGCAACAGACTTGGGATTGGGGGGGAAGGGGGGGGTCATTGTGTGACACTGAGTGGAAACAGCAAATCCTTTGGATTGGGAATGCGTTCCTGGTTCTGTCCGAACACCAGACCAGATTTTTCTCGTTCAGCCCATTTGTCAGGACCAGAACATCATATATGTATAGTAGTGGGCTTTTCTCCCTCTACTAGATATATTGCAGCTTTCTTCTGTCAATGGTTGTTAGGGAAGCAGCAGGTGCCTGCACCCACTACGTCCTTAGCAACCAGTACTATCATCCAGAGCCATTTAATTATTGGCAAGGAATCACCCGCCATTTTGTTCACATGGCCAGGGATTAAAAAAAAAAACATTGTGGAGCCCCCCACCTCCATAGTTTTTCTAGGACCATGCAAGGTGAGAGGAATTTCTAATATTCTAGGACCATGGAAGGTGAGAGGAATTTCTAATATTCTAGGACCATGGAAGGTGAGAGGAATGTAGAATATTCTAGGACCATGGAAGGTGAGAGGAATGTAGAATATTCTAGGACCATGGAAGGTGAGAGGAATGTAGAATATTCTAGGACCATGGAAGGTGAGAGGAATGTAGAATATTCTAGGACCATGGAAGGTGAGAGGAATTTCTAATATTCTAGGACCATGGAAGGTGAGAGGAATGTAGAATATTCTAGGACCATGGAAGGTGAGAGGAATGAAGAATATTCTAGGACCATGGAAGGTGAGAGGAATGTAGAATATTCTAGGACCATGGAAGGTGAGAGGAATTTCTAATATTCTAGGACCATGGAAGGTGAGAGGAATGTAGAATATTCTAGGACCATGGAAGGTGAGAGGAATGTAGAATATTCTAGGACCATGGAAGGTGAGAGGAATGTAGAATATTCTAGGACCATGGAAGGTGAGAGGAATGTAGAATATTCTAGGACCATGGAAGGTGAGAGGAATGTAGAATATTCTAGGACCATGGAAGGTGAGAGGAATGTAGAATATTCTAGGACCATGGAAGGTGAGAGGAATGTAGAATATTCTAGGACCATGGAAGGTGAGAGGAATGTAGAATATTCTAGGACCATGGAAGGTGAGAGGAATGTAGAATATTCTAGGACCATGGAAGGTGAGAGGAATGTAGAATATTCTAGGACCATGGAAGGTGAGAGGAATGTAGAATATTCTAGGACCATGGAAGGTGAGAGGAATGTAGAATATTCTAGGACCATGGAAGGTGAGAGGAATGTAGAATATTCTAGGACCATGGAAGGTGAGAGGAATGAAGAATATTCTAGGACCATGGAAGGTGAGAGGAATGTAGAATATTCTAGGACCATGGAAGGTGAGAGGAATGTAGAATATTCTAGGACCATGGAAGGTGAGAGGAATGTAGAATATTCTAGGACCATGGAAGGTGAGAGGAATGTAGAATATTCTAGGACCATGGAAGGTGAGAGGAATGTAGAATATTCTAGGACCATGGAAGGTGAGAGGAATGTAGAATATTCTAGGACCATGGAAGGTGAGAGGAATGTAGAATATTCTAGGACCATGGAAGGTGAGAGGAATGTAGAATAATCTAGGACCATGGAAGGTGAGAGGAATGTAGAATATTCTAGGACCATGGAAGGTGAGAGGAATGTAGAATATTCTAGGACCATGGAAGGTGAGAGGAATGTAGAATATTCTAGGACCATGGAAGGTGAGAGGAATGTAGAATATTCTAGGACCATGGAAGGTGAGAGGAATGTAGAATATTCTAGGACCATGGAAGGTGAGAGGAATGTAGAATATTCTAGGACCATGGAAGGTGAGAGGAATGTAGAATATTCTAGGACCATGGAAGGTGAGAGGAATGTAGAATATTTAGTGGATCTATGAGGAGAAGACCATGTTAGAGGGAGAGAACAGCAGGAACGGCTGTACATATGCAGACAGCTTCTCCAGTGAAGGTCACTCCCAAACATCTAGAGCTGGAAACCTTAAAAAGAACGGACTGTAGCATAGGACCATGCAGGGTAGGGGGGTCCCCCCAGGGAAACAGGACCCCAAAGGGCCTAAAGCAGCAACATTGGATGATGGAAGTTTGGATTAACTTTCTGGAGAGTCTTGATGTCCATAGATCCGTCCTCTCTGGTGTCAGAGGCTCATACAGAAGGGGATGATGGTGTACGTTCTCTAGGGGAACATCAGACACCAGGGATGCTTTTTAGAGTTTCACTCTTCAGAATATTGGTTGTTACATAGTTAGTCTGGCTGAAAAAAAAACAAAAGTCCATTCAGTTCAGCCATAAAAAAAAACAAGAAAAACAAATTATTATTATTATACAGGATTTATGGCGCCAACAGTCTGCGCAGCGCTGTACAATATAAGGGGGGCGGTACAATTACAATACATTTCAGTACAGAAGGAATAGGGGATCCCGGCTCGTGGAGCTTACAATCTAAAGGAAGGGGGAGGGGATACAAAAGGTGATCGCTGCGGGGGATGGTCTGGTGGAGGTGATTCAAGTACAGTTCTTAGGTGGAGGTGGGGTAGGCTTCTCAGAAGAAGTGAGTTTTCAAAGATCGCCTAAAGGCAGACAGGGTGGGGGCTGACCGGACATACTGTGGTAGGGAGTTCCAGAGAATGGGAGAGGCTCTGGAGAAGTCCTGGAGGTGAGCATGGGAGGAGGTGATGGGGGAGCTAGAGAGGAGGATATCATGGGAGGAGCGGAGCCGGCGATTTGGGCGGTATCTGTGGGTGAGGTTGGTGATGTAGCCGGGGCAGTGTTGTGGATGGCTTTGTATGCTGTGGTTAGTATTTTGAATTTTATACGTTGGGTTAGTGGAAGCCAGTGAAGGGATTGGCAGAGAGGGGTGGAGGACACTGAGTGGAGGCCAATGGAGGGATTGGCAGAGAGGGGTGGAGGACACTGAGTGGAGGCCAGTGGAGGGATTGGCAGAGGGGTGGAGGACACTCAGGAGGCCAGTGGAGGGATTGGCAGAGGGGGGTGGAGGACACTGAGTGGAGGCCAGTGGAGGGATTGGCAGAGAGGGGTGGAGGACACTGAGTGGAGGCCAGTGGAGGGATTGGCAGAGGGGGGTGGAGGACACTGAGTGGAGGCCAGTGGAGGGATTGGTTGGTAAGGTGTATGAGTCTAGCAGCAGCATTCATGATAGACTGAAGGGGGTGTGGCCTGTGTAATGGTAGACCAGTGAGGAGGGAGTTGCAGTAATGGAGGCGGGATATATCCAAGGCGTGGATAAGTTGTTTTGTGGTGTCATTGGTCAGGAAGGGCGGATTTTGGAAATGTTCCAGAGGTTGAGGTGTCAGGATTTAGTCAGTGAGTGGATGTGGGGCCCAAAGAAGAGGTCAGAGTCTAGGATTCCTCCTAGCACCGCGGCATGAGGGGAAGGGCCAATGGTTGTGCTGTTGATCTTAATGGTAAAGTCATGAGTGGGGGGATCGGGGGGGAGGAAATATTACAGCTCAGTTTTTGAAAGATTGAGTTTCCGGTAGTGATATGACATCCATACTGATATGTCGCTTAGTAGATTTGTGATACGTGCGGAGACTGAGGGGAGGAGCCGGGGGGTGGAGAGATAGATCTCGGTGTCATTAGCATAGAGGTGTTATTGGAAGCCATGGGAGGTTATCAGTTGACCCAGGGAGGAGGTATAGAGAGAGAAAAGGAGGGGCCCAAGGACAGAACATTGGGGTACCCCAACAGAAAGAGGAAGCGGAGGGGAGGAGGAGCTGTAATTATAATCCTCCACCCACAGTTGATCCAGAGGAAGGCAAAAACCCAGCAAAGCACGATCCAATCTCCTCCTGCAGGGAAACATTCCTTCCTGATCCTCCGAGAGGCAATCGGATATTCCCTGGATCAATAATCGGATATTCCCTGGATCAATAATCGGATATTCCCTGGATCAATAATCGGATATTCCCGGGATCAATAATCGGATATTCCCGGGATCAATAATCGGATATTCCCTGGATCAATAATCGGATATTCCCTGGATCAATAATCGGATATTCCCGGGATCAATAATCGGATATTCCCTGGATCAATAATCTGATATTCCCTGGATCAATAATCGGATATTCCCGGGATCAATAATCGGATATTCCCTGGATCAATAATCGGATATTCCCGGGATCAATAATCGGATATTCCCGGGATCTACTTTCCCTATAAATGTTATATCCAGTTTATTCTGTGTATCCAAGAAAGGATCCAGGACTTTCCTACAGCAATCCACTGAGCTGGCCACACCCACCTCTGGAGGGAGTCTATTCCACATTCTCACAGCTCTTACTGTGAAGAAACCTTCCCGTGTTTGGAGATTAAATATCTTTTCCTCCAGATGTAAAGAGCGCCCCCTTGTCCTCTGTGATGACCTCAGGGGGAATGACTCTACACTCTAGCTCCTCCATGCCTCGTATCAGTTTGGTTGCCCTTCTCTGTACTTCCTCCAGTTCCCCAATGTTCTTTTTGTGAATTGGAGCCCAAAACTGAACTGCATATTCCAGGTGAGGTCTTACTAATGATTTGTACCCGGGGGGGGGAGAGGGGGGGTGATATCTCTCTCTCTGGAGTCTATACCTCTCCTAATACAAGAGAGGATTCTGCTCACTTTAGAAGCCACAGCTTGGCATTGCTGCCATTATTAGGCTTGTGATCTACCAGATCCCCCAGATCCTTCACCATTGACCCCCCCAGATCCTTCTCCACCATTGACACCCCCGGATCCTTCTCCACCATTGACCCCCCCCAGATCCTTCACCATTGTCCCCCCAGATCCTTCTCCACCATTGACCCCCCCCCCAGATCCTTCTCCACCATTGACCCCCCCCCGGATCCTTCACCATTGTCCCCCCCAGATCCTCCTCCACCATTGACCTCCCCCAGATCCTTCTCCACCATTGACTCCCCCCAGATCCTTCAACATTGTCCCCCCCAGATCCTCCTCCACCATTGACCCCCCCCCCCCCCCCAGATCCTTCACCATTGTCCCCCCCAGATCCTCCTCCACCATTGACCTCCCCCAGATCCTTCTCCACCATTGACCCCCCCCCAGATCCTTCAACATTGTCCCCCCCAGATCCTCCTCCACCATTGACCCCCCCAGATCCTTCATCATTGTCCCCCCCAGATCCTTCTCCGCCATTGACCCCCCCCAGATACTTCTCCACCATTGACCCCCCCCAGATCCTTCTCCACCATTGACCCCCCCAAGATCCTTCTCCACCATTGACCCCCCCAGATCCTTCTCCACCATTGACCCCCCAGCTCCTTCTCCACCACCCCCCTTCTCCACCATTGACACCCCCCACATCCTTCTCCACCATTGACCCCCCCCCCAGATCCTTCCACCATTGACCCCCCCCAGATCCTTCTCCACCATTGATTCCCCCAGATCCTTCACCATTGACCCCCCCCAGTTGTACCCCCCCCCCCTAGTATGTATGATGCATGCATATTCTTAGCCCCCCAAGTGCAGATCCTTACATTTATCACCATTGGCCCTCATTGGCCCCATAGTCCCCCAATTACACAGAGCATTGAGGTCGGCTTGTAAGTTGGAGACATCCTGTAAGGACTTTACTCTACGGCACAGCTTGGTGTCATCTGCAAACTGAGATCCCCGACACCATATTGTATATATAGATTACAGAGTAAGAGTCCCTGAACTTTGGGGTACACCACTAATCACACTGAACCTTGGGGTCCCTCACTAATAACACTAAACCTTGGGGTACTCCACTAATAAACACTGAGCATTGGGGTCCCCCACTAATAAACACTGAAACTTGGGGTACCCCCACTAATAACACTGAGTCTTGGGGTACCCCACTAATAACACTGACCCTTGGGGTCCCCACTAATAACACTGAACCTTGGGGTACCCCACTAATAACACTGACCCTTGGGGTCCCTCACTAATAACACTGAACCTTGGGGTACCCCACTAATAACACTGAACCTTGGGGTCCCTCACTAATAACACTGAAACTTGGGGTACCCCACTAATAACACTGAGCCTTGGGGTACCCCACTAATAACACTGACCCTTGGGGTCCCCACTAATAACACACTGAGCCTTGGGGTACCCCACTAATAACACTGAGCCTTGGGGTCCCCACTAATAACACTGAACCTTGGGGTACCCCACTAATAACACTGAACCTTGGGGTACCCCACTAATAACACTGAGCCTTGGGGGTCCCTCACTAATAACACTGAACCTTGGGGTACCCCTACTAATAACACTGAGCCTTGGGGTACCCCACTAATAACACTGACCCTTGGGGTCCCTCACTAATAACACTGAACCTTGGGGTACCCCACTAATAACACTGAGCCTTGGGGTACCCCACTAATAACACTGAACCTTGGGGTACACCCCACTAATAACACTGAACCTTGGGGTACACCACTAATAACACTGAACCTTGGGGTACCCCACTAATAACACTGAACTTGGGGTACACCACTAATAACACTGAACCTTGGGGTACACCACTAATAACACTGAACCTTGGGGTACACCACTAATAACACTGAACCTTGGGGTACCCCACTAATAACACTGATCCTTGGGGTACCCCACTAATAACACTGAACCTTGGGGTACACCACTAATAACACTGAACCTTGGGGTACCCCACTAATAACACTGAGCCTTGGGGTCCCCACTAATAACACTGAGCCTTGGGGTACCCCCACTAATAACACTGAACCTTGGGGTACCCCACTAATAACACTGAGCCTTGGGGTACACCACTAATAACACTGAGCCTTGGGGTACCCCACTAATAATACTGAGCCTTGGGGTACCCCACTAATCACACTGAACCTTGGGGTACACCCACTGAAATGGGGTACCCCACTAATAACACTGAACCTTGGGGTACCCCACTAATAACACTGACCTTGGGGTACCCCACTAATCACACTGAACCTTGGGGTACACCACTAATCACACTGAACCTTGGGGTACACCACTAATGACACTGAACCTTGGGGTATCCCCACTAATAACACTGAACCTTGGGGTACCCACTAATAACACTGAGCCTTGGGGTACCCCACTAATAACACTAAGCTTTGGGGTACACCACTAATAACACTGAACCTTGGGGTACCCCACTAATAACACTGAGCCTTGGGGTACACCACTAATGACACTGAACCTTGGGGTACCCCGCTAATTACACTGAGCCTTGGGGTACCCCACTAATCACACTGAGCCTTGGGGTACCCCACTAATCACACTGAACCTTGGGGTACACCACTAATAACACTGAGCCTTGGGGTACACCACTAATCACACTGAACCTGGAACCCCACTAATCACACTGAACCTTGGGGTACACCAGTTTTCTATCCATTTAATTACAGATTTTTTTTTTTTAGACATTACCTTACACACAGCCACCCTCTGTCCAAGTATACACATGTCCACTGCCACCCCTCTGTCCAAGCATACCGTGTCCACCGCCACCCCTCTGTCCAAGTATACCACATCCACCGCCACCCCTCTGTCCAAATATACCACCACCGCCACCCCTCTGTCCAAGTGTCCACTGCCACCCCTCTGTCCAAGTATACCACATCCACAGCCACCCCTCTGTCCAAGTATACCACATCCACGCCACCCCTCTGTCCAAGTATACCACATCCACAGCCACCCCTCTGTCCAAGTATACCACACGTCCACAGCCACCCCTCTGTCCAAGTATACCACCACCATCCACTCTGCCACCCCTCTGTCCAAGTATACCACATCCACCGCCACCCCTCTGTCCAAGTATACCACGTCCACAGCCACCCCTCTGTCCAAGTATACCATGTCCACCGCCACCCCTCTGTCCAAGTATACCAAATCCACAGCCACCCCTCTGTCCAAGTATACCACGTCCACCGCCACCCCTCTGTCCAAGTATACCACGTCCACCGCCACCCCTCTGTCCAAGTATACCACGTCCACAGCCACCCCTCTGTCCAAGTATACCACGTCCACAGCCACCCCTCTGTCCAAGTATACCACGTCCACAGCCACCCCTCTGTCCAAGTATACCACGTCCACTGCCACCCCTCTGTCCAAGTATACCACGTCCACCGCCACCCCTCTGTCCAAGTATACCACGTCCACCGCCACCCCTCTGTCCAAGTATACCCGCGTCCACAGCCACTCCTCTGTCCAAGTATACCACGTCCACAGCCACCCCTCTGTCCAAGTATACCACGTCCACCGCCACCCCTCTGTCCAAGTATACCACGTCCACCGCCACCCCTCTGTCCAAGTATACCATGTCCACAGCCACCCCTCTGTCCAAGTATACCACGTCCACCGCCACCCCTCTGTCCAAGTAT